ACAACTGATGAGATCGGAGCAAGTAGTAAAGAAGAAAAACGGGCGGAACTGATAAGCAGAAAGGGATTCGTCTTCCATCAGGATAACGCTAGACCACACATATTTTTGATGACTCGGCAAAAACTGGAAGAGCTTGGAAGTTTTTGACGCACCCACCCACCATATAGCCCTGAAATTTGTTCCATCGGACTACCATTTGTTTCGGTTAATGCAGATCTCAGAACTTCATGGAGTAAAGTTGGCTTCAATAGAAGCCTGTGAAAATTTCTTGTCTCAGCTTTTCGCCGAGAAACCAGAAAAGTTTTACATTGATGGATTGAAGTCTCCAGCGGAAAAATGGTAAAAAATGGTCAACTAAAATAGTACATATTCGCTTCATTACGAAAAGATTTTTTCGAATGTACATCGATTTACTGCACTTTACCTCAAGTACTCGATGTAAACTTTTGGTTGGCAAAATGTTTTGAAAGTACCAGTGTTATTTTTAGAAAACTTTAATTTAGAATGTTAAACCATTTTGTTTTTTTTTTGCGAATTTCAATTTCACTACAAATAACGCCATTGTTTTAATTCAGCGCAATATATGCTATACAAATATTGTAGCTATAACTTATGTATTATATGTAGGTGCATAGGTGCCTATAAAAGCTTGTGTTTAAGCAAAGTAATTTTCAAACCACAGAAAAGGTTAAAAATAAATCAGCAACAAAAGCGCAAGCGAACCGAGAATACTGGTTACTGCAAAATTGTATAATGATATAATTGCAAATATAGCAAATACATGTGAGCATCATTGTGAATGTGGGTGTGTGTGCGACTTAGCGTGAATTGGGCAATATTTGCATGCGAAAGCAAAGTTTAACCACAATTTACCATTGTAGATAAACAATTCTGCTTTTTTACACGCCTGGCTTATCCACAAAATACGAAAATACCGCTGCACACATGCATGTGTGGGTAATTTCACTAGTGCAGCAGACCGCACAACGAGCGTACGCACACTCGCGCATATGATTAATTCAATAGGCATTTTGCAACAGTATATTGAATACAGATTTACAACTGCTTGTGGAAAAAAATAGACGGCATATTGCTATCTGTGGTTGGTTGCAACTAATCTCTGATTTTATTTAAAGCGCTTTTAAAAAGAGAAATAGCCGTAGTTTAGCTGAAGAGCGCTGAGAAAAAAGTCTGATTATCGAAACCACTAATTATGCTAATGTCGGTGGGCGTGCATGTGCAACACAAACAAAAACAGTGTTTCACACACGCACAGTGGTATTGTGGTGAAAAAAATGCGAATGGGAATATTAAAAATTTCGAAATTAAATATTTTGTGGATGTAGATTTTGGATTAACATCAAAGTGTGATCATTGGAATCTCTGTTACGAATAAACTCATCAATGTTGTCCTTAGACAGACTGAATATAAATTCGAATGACAAAATATGTTAATTTGTTGATGAAGTAGAATTCAAAAACTATCCCGCGCTGGCATTTTTTAAGGGATTATTCTACTGTAGGGCATAAATTTCAAGGAATTTTGAAGTGCTTTTAGGGATTACATGAGTTTCCTCGAGTAAAAAACAGCCTTTTAATAAGACTTAATATCAGCCTCCTGATAGAAAAAATTAAATATTTGAATACAAATTTTTATTCTTAGAAACATACACTATAAACAGAGAAATTGTGAAATTTTTGGAAAAAAATATTTGATTAGGTTAACTCCTTATCGGATCATCTAAAGTGAAAAGTACATACCTGGACGAAGGAAAAAAACTTAAAACTGAATTTTTGACAGATATTTTTACAATAACTTAAAATTTCAGAAAAAATATCGCGAACTATTTTTTCAAATAGTTGTGATCGCAAAAAAAACCTGTGTAAAATTATATAAGGATTTTTGAGAAGTCTTCGATAAATCTTCCCAACCGACTTCAAAAACGCAGTTTCGAGAAAAACGCGCTTAAAGACGGCGCACTTAGCGATTAGCCTCGAGCGCACAAGTTTTCAAGGGTGTATCTCCGAAACTATTAAACAGATCAACTTGAAAATTTAAGACAATATTGTGTAGAATTTAATAAGGCAAATAAAAGAAATCGATTTTAAGAAAACCCATAAAACCATGTAAACCTTTAAAGACACTAAAAATTTTCAATTTCGAGAAAAACGCGATGAAAGTTTCGCTTTTATCTCTATATACGATATTACCTAAATTGTGTTCAAAAATCACTTGGAAATTGTAACTAAATTCTCCGGATAAATGATATTTCAAACAAATGTTTTTTGCTAAGTTGATAAGATTGTCCTTAATTACTGTGCCAAATATGAACACGAACTGTCGACCAGTTTGCGTACAGCAGGTGTAGTGCGTTTCGATTTTTACAATGGATGAACATGTCGAACAAAGAATTTGTCTAAAGCATTTCTAACCAAATCTCGGGTGCGGAACCGTATTGACTGTTGGAAAAGGCTTACGGTGATTCAGTTTTATCGAAAACCTACGATTAGTACACGGCCCTCAAAGACGGTCGGGAGATCTTTAAAGACATGTCTCGATTTGGACATTTGGACGACCTTTGACCACTTCAACTGATGGAAATATTAAAACAGTGAAGGATATGATACTTGAAATTATCAGGCAAATATTAGGGAGATGTTAAGAGAGTTACACACCTCTCGCGACTCCGTTTTAATGATGTTGGTGTGTATTTCGGGTATGAAAGTGTTCCTGCTCGACTCATCCCGACGAAACATATATATATATTTTTTTTGTTTAAAAAAAAAGTACCAGATAGCAAATAGGTTTCTTTGGACATGATTGATCTTGCTAATTCCAATTCCACATGCAAGGAGCGCATTATACCTGCCAATGAGACATGGATTTATGAGTTTGATATTCAAACAAGTCAAAAATCCTCGGAATGGAGACAAAACGAGGCAACAAAAAAAAAAAAAAAAAACACGCAAAAGCTCATTGCTTCTACCGATAATCTGTGCTTAATGTACCATGAATTTCTTCCGGAGGGACATACGGTAGCTACGGAGTTCTTTTTGACCGTATTGAGGCCATATTGATGAATATTTTAATATTTTGCGTTTCAATTGGCGATTATTGTAAACCGCGCATTTTTTACCACAATGTATGTATATCACTAAAAATAATTTGAATTTTGAAAAATCTTCTTGGAAACATATAAAGCAATACTTACATTTTAGAAATATAAAAAAATTTTAAAATTAAGAAAAATTGTTTCTAGAACTAGCTACAATTTAGAAACTTTTTGGAAACTAAAATATAATTGAATTTATTAAAATTGAAATTATTTTACACATTTCACCATAAACAAACAAAATATTTCGAATATTCCAATCTCCTTGAGCGAAACTGCTCCCCTGTGGCATAGTCGGCAGTTCAAAATATCGAATGTTATCTAAGCCTTGTTGTTGTTACATGTTTATTGTTTTGTTGTTTTTATAGCCAAAATAACTATAATTGAATTTAAATTATTGCTTTCGGCTAGCAATTGTTTTACTTTAGAAAAGCACACCCACACAAAGGCTGCGTTTTTTCCCAATTGAATTTGTGTTGAGTTGAAAATTACGGTGTTAGCTTACGCGGCCGATGTCTGTCTGACTGAGTGTCGGTTTTGGGGCACAACTATAATTACTCACTTTAGCAATGCAACTCACTTTTGGAACATAGCGTAAAGCAGTCGGCAGTTGTGAGGGCGTAAAGGTGTTCGGTTGGGGCGTATGAGTGATATTTCAGTTGCGAGTTCAGTTGCTTGTCATTCGCAAGTGCCGTGCGCCACAAATCAGATAAAATACTTGCAAATTGAATTTCATGCTAAATTTACATTTAAACAAGCACGGCGTCGTGACTAGCAATTTAGGCGAGCAAATCCAATTCGTTGTCTATAACCGTTAGCTTAACCAAAACAATGCTAAAGCTGAGACCTTAAACGCACTTTCGGCGCACACACCCATTGTGGCCACAATTTGTTGCCAAATACAAAGCATATTCAATATGAATAATGTTATGAATGTCAAAGAAAACCAAAAAAGCGCAAAAGACAATAAAACAAAATGTGCGAGGCTTGTTGGTGCACCAATAAGATCCGGCCAGTGCCCACACTAAGCAGCCAACACGCACACACACACACACACACCAAGTGCGCTGATAAGAGTAACGACGCTTATATTTCAATAAAAATATGCCACATACAAAAACAAAGCAACAACAACAAAGACAGCTTGGCACCCACGCACACCAAGAAAGACGTTTGCAGCTGAAGCACGCTCTCCCAGCTAAGCGTGCACCACAGCCATAGGCCCACAATCACATGGTGAGCCACCACCACCAGCCCACGCGGTGAGCAGCGGCGGCACGTGTTCGCAACGCTTTGCAATTCGCTGGAAACGAAATTGGCCATGACGCAGGCGCTGTGCCGGAACTGCCAACAGCTGTCGGCCGCACTGGCGGCGTTGCAACAAACAAAGCGCTCGCACGAGGCCACGCTGCACACATGATTCGGCATGCGGCGAGTCAGCTGTAGCATTTCGCCAAGCGCGCGCTGTTGTTGTGTTAATCGGCCGGCGGCCTTCGGCTGTCAGTTGCGGCTTGGCGGCGTGCAAAATCAAAACAAACGGTATAAGAGCGTGCCACTCATGCGAAGAGCGCATAGTGTGAGTGAGCGGCAGTTGAGATTTGGTGCGAGCAAGTCTAAGTATGAGCGCACTCGTCGCAAGCATATGAGCATAGCGCGCTTTCAGGCGCACAATACTGGGAAATGAACAGAGTGTTTGAAATACCCGTTTTTTACTTTGAAATTGCATCCCACGCTGTGGGTTTGCTGCTGTGTGTGCGGTTTGTTGTGCTTTGTCGGCGCCGACTGGCAATGAAAAATTCAGTTTGATGTTGCACGCACGACCAAAAGGACATGCGAAACGGAAGACACGAGCAAGTGCAATAGCTGGACGTACGAGCGCGCGCGGGACAAAAACTGTTTGTATTACAGGAAATATAGATATATAAATAATTTATATAATTTTTTTCATAAAAAAAATACGCGTTGTAAAAGTGTGTATTTAAAAGTCGTAAAAAAGAATACTTCCGAAAAGCAGTGTGAAATTTCGCACCAACACCGTTAACCGCAGCTTTGCGCGCAGCCGGCAGCACAATTTACTGTTGGCCGAAATTGCGGTCGCTTAACGCCGGTGCAGCGCACCTGCCACCGCGGCCACACAGCAAACTCGCAGCAGCCAGCGACCAGCTGCAAGAACAAACGCTGAGCTTACTACTCTGTACAGTTATGGCTCAAAGCAAGGCGGCTACTAAAAATAGTGAAAGAAAGTTTAAATAGTGCTTTCCTAAAAAGCGGTGCAGGAAGACTCGTAGCTGAAAGCAGTGTAATCAAACGTGTGCAAATAAGTGGCGCACAGAACATACAAAGGAAATAGCGGAAATAAGAAAAAACGCCGCCGAAATTGTTGACTATGGCGTCAGAGTCGCCACAGCCTCTCTAGGCAACGTGCCACAGCTGTGCAACAACACAAAATAACAAAAGAGGAGCAAAAAAAGTATATGTGAAATTATTGGCGGAAATGAAGCATGCAACTTGTGTCCATTGCTGGCGGTACCTCATGGAAACAGTCATACAGCATTCAATAGCCGACAGCTAGCAACGCTGGGCTGTGACATAAACGAGACTATCAGTAGCAGCTGCAATATCAAGTGCTACGACAGCTTAGCTCATCCGCTCCGCAACGCCACCTCGGCCACACTTGCCGCTAGAGCCTGTACAACGGCCAACAGCGCGCCACATCAAAGTGTCGAGGAAGCAAGTAGAGGAAATTAAAATTTGCATGTGAAAGGAGCCAAGTCCTTGCATTGCCTGGCATTCACTTTCAACGCTGTCTGAGCTTTCGGCACACAACGCTTAAAACGTGTGGACTTGTGCCGATTGCCACGGCGCAAAAAATCAGACCGAGCATTTCGCACTGACAACGGAGGCGGCCGGCCGGCTTTAGTGCACTTTTTATGTGTGTGTGGCGCCACGCGTTGAGTAAAAAATATACGCAATAAGCGAAGGCGCAGTGGCTGTCGAAGTGGAAAAAATTGTGTAAACAACAACAAGTACAAATATAGCAGGCAAAAGAGTTGGCGCAAATCAACACCATTGCTAACTGCAATTTCAATTTCTGTGCTGCGCCGCAACGCCGACGTAGGCAATCTTGTTTGCCCTGCAGCCAACGGAGGCGCAGCAAGTGTTAAATGAAAACTGAAGAGTGAGGTGTGAGGAGTGAAGAGTGTTCAGCGCGGAGTGATAAGTGTATAGTGTTTTCTATTAACGCTTTCTCGCAAAAAACGAAACCGAGTTAGTACGCCTGTGTGCGTGAGTGTTTTTTAACGGTAAATACAAGCACTTGCACGCCTAGACCGCGTAAGAGACGGCGCTGTTTGTGGCATTAATTACACAGTCCCTAGCTGGTAGCAGCAACAAAGCAAGCTTGGTGCCCCGCAACCACCCACAGCCTTACGTGTGGCAAGTAAATGTCAGTACGCTTCGTGGTTGTTGAGTGTCACTGTCATTGCCACAAAGGATAACAACGCCAGCCAGCGAGCAATAACAATACTAAACCAGCAACAGAGTGGCACGCACGAACTGCAACAGTGGTACATGCCACATGCTACATGAATGCATGCCAGCATTTATCCGTACCAACTTCAGCTTAGACTTTTTGCATAACAATCAACCGAGCGAACAATCGAACTTGCACGCGTGCAGGCCATGCCACATGCGGCATGCAGCTGCCACTGCTGAAGCAGCAACTATTACTCAACTCTAATACCAAGTGCTACTTGCAGTAGCACCCATATAGTCGCCGTTATTGGCAGGACCCACCGCATCGTTAGCATACAGCGCCGACTGCAGCAACAGCATGACGTCAGCGACGTCCGCCTCGGCGCCTTCGCGCGCCTCTGGATTTATCGCTTATTCAGCAATCGTTTTGCTTTGCACTTCCGGTAAGTGAAATTCACTCAGCCACATGCTCATGTAATCATTTGAGGGGCACACACACACTCACACACCACAAGCACACACTTGAATTTTATGCAACACAATCTAAAATAGTAGAAAGACTCTTGCAGCAAAGATGAGCATTGCAGCAGGCAGCTAAGCGCCTCGTTTGTATTGGCTTTGCGCTGCCGCATGCGGTTTCAGTTGTGCTGAAATGCGTCCAACCATGCGGAGCGCCTTGAAGTATGCAGCACATTTTACTTTTATTCTTTCATACATGCCATTCTTCGCCGCTCCAATTTTTTGTCTGCCATGTCGCATTACACAGTTCGTATGCAGAGCTGCATATACAAGTCAACGCAGCCCGCTTTCGACTAGTGCTCGAACTTGAATTTCTATTGAGTGTTTATATGCAAATAGATTATTTCAAGAGCTTCAAGTATGCTCTGTCAAGTAAAATAATGCATGCTTTCTAGACTTGAAAGTTTGATCTTCGGTGCCTTGAATGTAAAAGCTATGTTTTCCTAATTTTTTTCGAGTTCTCACGATTGCGGACTAGATTTCTATAACTTACGAATATTGTCATTCAGATTCATATCTGTTAAAGGATATAAGGGATAAAAAAAATGTTCAGTTTCGAGATAATCGTTTAATTTAGATTTTAAGATGGTACACTACTAGGATGTGAGATTTTATGGTTCACGATAGAGAACTATCCAAACAAAGAAGGTCTTCAAAATATGCTAAAAGTCGATACTGAACATTACTAATAGTAAAAACCTCATTTCCGCTGTTAGGTGATTCATTCTTAACATTTTCATTGTTATTGTTACATTAAATTGTTTTGGAGAGTGCTACTGAAGTGACAGTTTTTACCAGGATGCGATTCTGAATTCATGTAAACCTAACTATCGTAGGACAAGGCACCAAAGTGCCAAGTTTAGAATTTCTTTTCGGGGTAACATTGAGTACATATAGGCTAAACGATCTTCCTCTCTATTATAAGTGGATCCAGCCCTGCTTTAGTCTGTCTATGAAGTGCTCTTTGGAACTATGCCCACTCGATTGATATCTCGAATCTATCTAAGCCTCCAATCTTCTCCTTTAAATATCTTAGATACAGCTGAGTCCATTTCGGCCCGATAACTGATCGCCAAAGAGTGTGATGGAGTTATGTAAATACTCATTACATACACCAAATATGCCAATGTTATTTGCAACAGCGTACACGTGACGCAACAGTGGCATGCAACATTTCCATTTTTGCGACGCATATGATTTTTAGCACATATCCGTTCTGACATTTCGTCCCTATTGATTCGGCTCTTTTATGCCAAGGTAGTATCTTTCAAGTTCCACACACATATGTGTTTTTGTTGGTGTAGTTGCAGCGTATATTTTCGCAACAAAACGTGTGGCACACACACTTGCAGTTGTACATTTGCTGCCTCTGAAGAAGGAGGGAGACGCATCAGAAATGAAGCTGTAACTTTGTACCCACGCAGCAGACTGACTTCCCGACTCCGCTTCTTCATTTTAACTGCCATTCAGTGCATCCTCCGCTTCGCCAACTGCTTTCCACTCTTCGCTTTTCATTTCTGCATTTGCTGCATTATGAACTGTTCAGCACAAAGCATATACGGAAAGGGTTCTTCTCATCTTCCGCCGGTACTTTCATTGACGGCAAAGGCATCGGATTACACGAGTGAACTCACGTGCATAACTGCATACATATGTACATATAAATATACATACATCTCCGTTGATATCATTACACATATTTGCTTGCTTGCTTGCCCACAATTCCACATTTAAGTAGTCAAGTGCAAGCCTTACTCATTCTACTGCAGTACAAGCCCTGTAGGAAAATGAAGAACTTATGCAGAACTGGCTTGAGGCGTGAAGTCTGTAGTTGGTGGCCTTATTCCGTTTTCTTCATGCAACTGTAGACTTTAACCTCGAAAGGTCTGAGGACCTAAGAATCTAAGCTTTATTTGGCACTTCTGAAACTAGTTGCGAAGTAGGAAAAGATAAAACATGCAAAAACTCTATTCGTTTTTTCGTTTGCATTAACTTTTCACTGATGCAATTGCATTAGAATCTACGTTTTCCTGCAGGGTATCCTCGAAATGCTTTTGGATGTGTGCATTGCTTCAAATTCAATGTTTGCTCGCAGTACAACAAGTGAATAGTGTTTCTTTACAGATTAGTCCGATTAATTTCTGTAGGTATTTATTCGCCGGTAATGCTATTGTCTGTGCATGTTTCTGTTTATGAAAAGATATACATACCATTCAGCATAGAAAAACTAGTAAAACTCAGCACATTTATGAATATATTTCTAATTTATTCTCTTCCGAGATTTGTATGTGTGAAAACGGAAATTAATTGTGCTGCCATTTTGCTAAGCAAAAATCTGATATTTTTAAGAAATTAGAATTTTTCGAAAAGTACACATAATTTGGTGAAAATATTTATAAAATCGATTCTTTGTAGTTATGTTCTTAGAAAGTAACGAATAGGGTACAAACCAAGCATAAATAGACTGCTTGGATTAAATAGTAAGAAATAAAAGAAAAATTTTTTCGCTTCTAAAGAAATGAATAAACACGAATTAGAAAAATTACTAGATAGGTTAGAATTTGGTATAATGTTGTCAACTGTAAAAATTTTAAAAAAAGAAAAAAAAGAAAGAAATTCATAGAAGATTGACACCAATTGGAAACGAAAGATGAAGTAACAAGCATTAAAGACACAAGTACGAAAGGGCTAAGTTCGAATGCAGCCCTTGCAACTTGCAGGAATCAAAGCCAAGGAAATGCTTTAAGATGTAAAACGTCAACTAGTGGATTGGAATTTAAGCAATTTAATATATACGTATGCTATACACTATACGTGTAACTCATACACTATCCAACAAATTCGGCATACGATTTTTTTAAAAAACGAGAATCATTGTAAATAGAAAATCAGGGTCGTATTATCCTCTATCACGGAAATATTGATCCGATTCAACCCGTTTATGATACACAGAATTAGTGTTGTCTGGAAAGAATAATTTCCAAACGTCAGCTGTATATCTCACACATTGACATTGGCTGACAAAGTCAACTATATATACTGCACCCACATATTCGGTACCTAGAGGCTTGAATAATTTTGTTTGGGTTTGGGAAATTTTTGGTTATGAGGTGGCATATTTTTAACGAATTATAATTTAAAATTATGTTATATGAAAAGTAGGCATTGTTGTAGTCAGAAACATACGAAAAGAAAGCTATATACTAAATTTAGTCGAAATCTGTCTGTCCAAATTTCACACCGGCACTTATAAAACCTTTCTTTATGATCTTGGTTTATCACGCTTTCAGTAGTTTTTAATTTTACCGTTATATGGTGAGTGAACGGGGCTATCCTCCGACTTTATCCATCTCCACACTGTCGGTTCTGATAAGACTTTTACCCAGCAAATTTGGTTGTTGCAGCATTAGTAGTTTGGAAGATATTAAACTTGTTAGAGGATGGGGAAATGCTCAATATTTAAAAATTCTCGTAGGTACCCCCTTGCAACTGCGATCCATTGTGTCAAGTTATACTTTTATATCTGAATTTAGTGCTTTGTTATGACACTTTATATGTTTTCGGTTAATTACGATTTTTGAAGTGAAGGCTCAACTATTTATTAAATCTTTCCAGTTCCTGGCGGTTCAGTTCATGACTTTTTATACAACCCTGTTCTCTATGCTGCCGTTTCAACCTTACTTTATCCTTAAATAGTAGACTTAGAGCAACAAGCTTTACTACAAGCAAAAAGAAACTCACAAAAAAAAAATACCTATTAAATATAGAAGTAAGAAGTTTACAGAGCTTTTTGAAACTCCAACTAAATCTCCACAAAAATAAATTTATGGATTAATGCCTTGATAATGGATTACTTTGTTGTTATTGTAAAGGTCAGATGTTAATCTCCATAAATGCTTTTTGAAAATTCGCTTTGATTTGATTGATTTTATTTTTGAAAGTTGAGGTGCTGATTGAAAGTAGAAATATGCCTGCAGAACAACATTATATAGTACAGCAAGTATATACGTACATCTAAATATATTGGAAATAAGAGTATATAAATACATTCGTATACGCGTATAAGCTAATATATGCCACACATATTATACTATATTTTATGCAATCAAGCGCGTTCAATTTATGAACATCTCACACCGCTGCACACACGTTTGCCTTGACAACTCCAAACATATTATATGTGAGGCAATTGAGCTCCGTTATACTTAATTTACACAATACAATTTGTTGTTGTTTGTTAGTTAAGTCTTCGCTTTTAATGACTCTCAATTGATAATAAATAAATCATAAGTGCTGCAGCTTAGGAAATACTTAATTCGATAGTTAATTTAAGTGTAATTATTGTAATAGTGTTTACATTACAATATTGCTACGTGAAAAGTAATTAGTTACACTGATATGCAAAAGCAAATTTTATTTCTACTTTTTGGTTTTTATGCATGAGTTTATTGTTTGTTGGAATATTTGGGCGCAAACTTCATACGTGCGGCATTAGTCGAGCTCCGAAAAGCCAGTGAAATGCAAACCATACCAATACCAGTGAAAGCAAAAATTCCAACAGCTCAGATTTAACATTACAATGTACTAAATTATTACGATTTTATACATAAAGAGAAAGCAATTTGTCTTTTTAATATTGAAAATAGAGTCAGATAAGTCAAATCAAGAAATTTTGCGGCGGAATGGTTCGTTTAATTTAAAATTTTATTTGATACCTCCGCCTCCTTCGAAAAGCGAACCGGAGTATTTCATTTTACTTCAGAAAAGAGAAGAGAACTGCAAACTGTTTCGTGCAGGATTACTAAGGATATTTTGCTAAGTATTCCCCTACGACTAGTAAGTGTGGTTATACTTACAGAAACAGGTTTTAGAAATAATACTAAAATATCTCACTTTTGATCGATGCCATTGGGGTTCATAGGCG